CTGCATCTCCCTCCTATTTCGGTGATTGGGCCTCCTGTCTCAGCTATAGCGGTTTCTTTAGCCCTTAATTCTCTCTCGGTTGCTGCCCTTGTGGAGATGCGCTCCCTGTTTCTGACCCCCCCTCCCCCCTGCTTTCCTTGACCGCCCCTATCCATTGCCCCCTCCTGCTCCGGACCCTGTCCGCTCCCTTAACTCCATCGTCCTTGCTAAATTTACCCAGGCCCCCTAACTCTGATTTCACTGATCCTGGTCTTGATCTTCTTTAGTATGCTGTGTTCTTCTTTGTCTTTGTTTCTTCATTGTTCTCTGTTGATGTTCTCTCCCTTTATTCCGACTTTTACCCAGTTATTCATTCCTCCGTCCTTGCCCGGGTTGACCAGGGTTGTTGGTCTTCTGTTGCTGGTGACAAACTGCGTGCTCTTAAGAGTAGTGTCCCCCCCCCCATGGCCTTCCTTCCTACCAACGTAACCGTGCGGTGGGAAACGACTCTGGCAAGGTTGCGTATTGGTCATACCTGTTTAATTCACGGTCATTTACTGGAGCACCGCCCAGCTCCTTATTGTCCAACCTACATTGTCCCTCTTACGGCCGTGCATGTCCTTGTTGAATGTCCTGACTTCCAGGACGAGCGTGTGTCTTGCTTTCCCATCATCCCTCGCGGCCACTTGTCTCTCGATAGAATTCTTGGTGAATTGGATACCTTTGATATCATTCGCCGTATGCGTTTTTGTTCTCATATTGACGTCCTTAGTGATATTTAGCACCATATGATTATTCCGCACATGTGATGGTGCTATATAGCCTTCCCAGTTTGGCGCCTTCTTTTGATACTAACTTGCAGTCTGGAACACCACAAACACACAAGGGTGTATCGTCAGACTGTTGTTGGTGTACTGTCGAAATAACTGGTCTGGAATTTTTTTTTTTTTTTTTTAGATATATACAAGAGTTGTTACATTCTTGTAGAGCCACTAGTACGCGTAGCGTTTCGGGCAGGTCCCTGGAATACGATCCCCGCCGCGAAGAATCGTTGTTACAACCAAGTACACATTTTACTGTTGAGTTAAACAGAGGCTACAGTTAAGGATTTGCGCCCAGTAAATCCTCCCCGGCCAGGATACGAACCCATGACAAAGCGCTCGCGGAACGCCAGGCGAGTGTCTTACCACTACACCACGGAGACTGGTACAGCATTGTTGAATTCTGGGCCGTTGTCAGTAATTATATCCCTAGGTTGCCCATACCTGCAAATTATGTTATGATGTTCACTAGCTATTGTTTCTGCAGTTTTATTTGGAATCGAAACCAGTTCAGAATATCTAGAAAAGTTATGTCATAACCAGATGTTTATTGGGGCTTGTTGTTGTGCCATTTCCACATCTTGCAAGTCTAATGAAGGGTATTCAACTTGGACAGGAGCGACGTAGCGGGAGAGGGGCATCGGCAACTACATTACTTCTGCCAGGTAAATAGCCGAACGTGGGGTAGGAACTCTTGTATTGTGAGCGACCAACGGGCAAATTTGCCTATTGGGTTCTTTTCTTTGAACAAGGGGATAATGGCTTGGTGTTCCGTCAGTACATAGATAGGGTAGTCCTAGATGATGAGTCTGAAATGTCTGAGAGCCCACACTACAGCTAAAGCTTCACATTCTGTTGTTGAGTAATTCTTTTCTGCTGACGCTAGTGGTATCGCAATAGGTGGTTGTTTAATGCAGCGTGATTCGGAGAACCTTCCTCACCCTGTGGCGTATTTCAGTAGGAAAGTGAAGGGACCTGAGGTTAGGTACTCAGCAACAGACAAGGAAGCGCTTGCGGTGGTTGAAAGTGTTCGTTATTTTGAGCCTTACCTATTCCAACGTAATTTTGTTATTTTCACAGAGCTCTCGCATACATATTTAAAAAGAAAACGGTGTCCCCGGTTGTCCCGTTGGTCTCACGAACTGTCAGCTCACTCTTTTCAAATCCTTTATAAGTCAAGACTATCAGGATTATTCACAAACAGGAACAAGCTGACTAGGGTGTAGCCAGAAAATATTTCAATTAATTCTAGCTGAATCTGAGGTCACAGGCTGACCTCACCAGGACGTTCCCAGGGTGAGTCAAGGGTGTACTTTCTCTGGGCGTTACAGCGTGTCTCATCAGGGCACATTACTGCATTAGCTATTTGGTTATTACTGTTACAGTACTGTTAGCCAAGATCATTCACTGGCTAACAGCTTTGGCACTCTTAGAACGCAAGCGAAACCGAAGGGGCCGCTGTTCAAGCGAGGCCTAAGTGATCTGAGATGACATCGGTGGTTCATAAGTTACTGAAGATTTATATTGTGTGCATAGTAGTCTACAGTTTATTCTACTAAGCCAATAACAAAGGGTACTTAACTAGAGCTGAGGGCCGCTGGTACTGCAATCAATTCAACACAGTATGATCAGTATCGTTGGCGTCAGGCCAGGCAAGAGGTGATGAGGCATGGTGAGTCACGTCGAGTCGCGGTGAGTCTGGTGCGAGTGTTTTCTGGGTGAGGCAGGCACGGGCGCACACGGCACACCCAGGGTGGCGAGTCACAGGCAGGAGGGCGGGGAGTAGGCCGGGCGCGAGGCATGAGGCTTGGTGTGCTAGTACATGTGGTACATGGAACATACACATTGTATTGTCACTGATATCAGTGATGTCACTCACTACAATGTCACCGAGTCACTAGCAGTCACACATGGCAAGTGGTTCTCCTGCAGGCAGCTGTACTATAGCTGCTGTGAAGCAGTTGTACCAAGGCGCTGGGCTGGGAGCTGGAATTCGTCAGCTGATCCCACCGCTGCCACCAATATTAAGAGTTGTGTTGAGTGGTTGTAGCTTTCTTGTAGTGGGAACAGAAACAGTACAAACATCTGTGGCTTTCTCTTCTTTATTATAAAATATATAAGTATCTACTGGACCATGTACTAGCTATTATGAATACCTGTGCAGGGCGAGGGCTGATGCTGATCTGCCCATGGAGTGTGATACCTGGTTGATACCTGCTTGATGGGGTTCTGGGAGTTCTTCTACTCCCCAAGCCCGTCCCGAGGCCAGGCTTGACTTGTGAGAGTTTGGTCCACCAGGCTGTTGCTTGGAGCGACCCGCAGGCCCACATACCCACCACAGTCCGGTTGGTCCGCCACTCCTTGAAGGAAACAATCTAGTGTCCTCTTGAAGATGTCCACGGTTGTTCCGGCAATATTTCTGATGCTCGCTGGGAGGATGTTGAACAACCACGGACCTCTGATGTTTATACATTGTTCGCTGATTGTGCCCGTGGCACCTCTGCTCCTCTTCAGACCTCTCTTCAGTGTGGTCCTTGGCTGCACCTGGGATGTGTATACAACGAGCACCTTGTTGTGAGAGGTGTTGAGTTGGCATAGCAAGATGGCACCCACCATACCAAGGCATCCAACATAGGTGAGGTTAAGTTAGGGAGGTTATAGTAGGGAGGTTAGGTTAAGGTAAGAAGGTTAGGTTATTCATAATGCAGCCCGTCCTCCTTAGGTTTCCCAACGTCAAGAAAACGGTCAATTTAATGTGTGTTCTCCTAACCTTCCAGAGAACCACCAACAGAAAACGTTTCAGTATGTCAATTTTGCGAGCCACTTCCATTTTTTAGTGCAACAATTTTTGACGTTATGTTACGCATACGATCGAAACACGACGTCCTTGAGCACAGGTTGTGGCAGACCAGTGCAGCCCCACCGACCTACGGCGTGTTCTCCGCCGTAGGTCGGAGGACAATAATTCAAAACACAAAGAAAAAATCATCATTAAGACAAGTCCTACTGTACAACCTTACTATTTTCACACCAAATAAATTTATATATTCTGTACAGGTTTCTTTAATTTGGAGGGTTTATTTATGAGGCAAGAGTTGCATGTAAATTTACACAATGTTACAGTAATGCTAAACAGTATTAATATTTACAGGTTTATGTTGAAGTTTGGAGGCGCTGTATGAAGTGGTGGACGTGATGGATGGGTAACTCAACCATCTTAATGTGTGTGGCTCTCTCACCTCTATACAAGTCTCATTCTACACAATAGCATCCTATTCTTCAAGCATACTCACCCTAGATACAAAAACCTTCATGGTTTTCAACCATCCTCACCCAACCCCAGACACAAGAATATCCAGTTTATTTTTTTAGAAAAGTTGGGAATGCAAGTAGCCGACAACATACTTCTCTGAACAGGCTAGAAACTTCCCCTTCTCATAGCTCATGGGAAGCCTTACCCCTCGATTTTCCTTGGAACACGACCCGTCAATCAATTTACAACAAGGTTCTCAATTGCTACTGGGTGAACAGGAGCGAATAGTTAAAGATCGGTGCCCCTGGCCAGGGCTTGAACCCAGTCCAAATCGCTGACGAGGCTGCTTCATTCATCCTCACCTCATAGACAAGAATATTATGTTTAAACTTGCGCAGGAATACCCTGTTTTGTAAGTACCTAAGTCCAAGAATTCAAACCCATCCTAATGGCCAGGTTCGATTCCCGGCGGAGGCGGAAACAAATGGGCAGCGTTTCTTTCACTGTGATCACCTAGCAGTATATAGGTACTTGGAAGTTAGACAGCTGCTACGGGCTCCTTCCTGGGTATGTGTGTGTGTGTGCTAGAGAGAAATAAATGTAGTGGAAAAAATAGAGGTAAAATAGATTGGTAAGAAAGGTGGGGTCCAAGAGCTAATAGCTCGATTCTGCAGACACAGATAGTAAATATACACATTTCTCTCTCTCTCACTCTCACTCTCTCACTCTCTCTCTCTCTCTCTCTCTCTCTCTCTCTCTCTCTCTCTCTCTCTCTCTCTCTCTCTCTCTCTCTCTCTCTCTCTCTCTCTCTCTCTCTCTCTCTCTCTCTCTCTCTCTCTCTCTCTCTCTCTCTCTCTCTCTCTCTCTCTCTCTCTCTCTCTCTCTCTCTCTCTCTCTCTCTCTCTCTCTCTCTCTCTCTCTCTCTCTCTCTCTCACTCTCACTCTCACTCTCACTCTCACTCTCACTCTCTCACTCTCTCACTCTTACTCTGAGATGTCAGCCGTACGGGGCCTCACAAGACCTTCTCGAAAACTCGGAACGTTTGTCTTCGTGTGCGTATTGACGGGGATGACCTTCTGGTCTTACAGTGTGCCCCTCTCTGAGTCCTCTCCAGCCCGACCCTTCCCAGCACTCCTGCGCCTGCCTCTCGCAGCACCTGTGGGCGGGCCTGGTGAGCGGGAGGCCGGCGACGCAGAGGGCGCTCACCACACTGCTAGTCCCACCACCGTCCACAACAATACCAGCACTAAAAGCATTACCACAGTAACGAAGTACAACGAAAGAGGTAACCAATTGAGAGTGAAGACAAGCACGAGTACGAGCCGAGGCGAGGTGAGCGTGAGGACGAGTAGCCAGTGTGTCAACACCACCAGGCTCGCCCACCACCCTCACAGGTCAGTCCCGCCTCCGCCCCGCGGGGCTCACTATATACCTCTCCTCTTTATAACATCAATTTGTTCTCATTAAAACCAAATTATCTCATTATAATAATAATACACAGATAAATCGCATTATCGTGATATATCAATGAGAAAATCCACAGGAGCCGTGATGAGGGTTGGGAATTATGTGGTGGGTGTTCCCAGGCGCGCCATAGTCTTGGCCCATTGTGGACTTGTTCGTTTGATGTATCACGTTATTGTAATTTCTGTGTGTATTATTGTTATTGTTATTGTAATTATTATTGTTATTGTTATTATTGGTATTGTTATTATTGGTATTGTTGTTATTATTATTATTATTATTATTAATCACACACACAAGTTAGATGCATTCATAATCTGGTATGTTACTAATTATATAATAATGTAAGGATTGATTTATAATAATTTAAGGATTAACATATGCAAAGTCCTTAGCAACGATTTTTTTTGTGGGGGACAAAGCAGAAGGGAAGTGTGTCCATAGAGAGTGATAGTCGTGTTGGTGACCCAGTGACCAAAGGTTCGGGGTGTAGATGTTACCATTATTGTTGACTGTTAGTTGCCTGAGGTTGTCACACGGCCGCCCTCCTCACTACCTCATGACTCCTCCCCTCACTCTCACCCCGGGGAAGGCACAGAATGTGTTGAGCTGCCCCATGATGCTCACCTAATTGTGCTTGCGGGGGTTGAGCTCTGGCTCTTTGGTCCCGCCTCTCAACCTGTGTGAGGCGGCTGGTGTAGGTGCTCAGTGACCTAGACAACCTCTCTCAATGCTCAGCGTGCTGGACCGCCAGTTTCAATATATAAGAGCTGGGAACCCACTTGCCGAGAGACACAGACATCACGAGACGGGAGTATTACGTCACATTTTGTACGTTGTGGTCACCAACGTACAAATTAGAAAGTATTATGAAAAGTAGCGGCTCACAAAAGTCCAGGTTTTCTATCCATCGGTACGTTAGGTTAGGTAGGTTGTTTGGGTACCTGCATTTGTCGTTAGGGTAGGACTTTGTTCACAGAGAAATCACAATCACGTGATATATCAAATGAACAAATCCACAAGAGCCGTGATGAGGGTCTTCTGGATTTGTTCATTAGGAGTTTGTGTTTTGTAGGCTGTGTCGGAGCAAGAGAACGGCCGGGTGACTTGAACACAGCACCCATGCTGTAGCCGTGAGCAGCGAGCACCGCAACACCCACAACACTTGGGATAATTGTGTTCTAACAAACACGACTAAGATGAGCACCATAGAATACTGTCAACAGCAACTCAACAAATGCCATAATTAAGAAATACACTTCAGTTAGAAAGACACATCTACGAGGATATAAACACAATGAAAGCCAATATAAACCTAAAGAAATTGAAGAAATTATGTATTCAAATAAGAACAAGAATTCGATACTGATACCCTGGTCTTTGCTGCCCCACCTCGCCCTCTCCACAACAGAGGTCAGGCTCTGAATACAGCGGGCGGAAGCTAACGGGTGTCTCTATCTTATCGCTTCTTAGCTTCTTCCTTCCCCTCTCATCTGCTACCCGGCCAGTTCCGCCTCCCAGGAGTGGGTCGTTAGAACGTGAGAGTGTCCGAGGTGCGTATCCTTTCCGCTAGCCAAGTTGACTTCTATTTGCCGTGTTGTTTGTGGCTGCCTCTCTCTCTCTCGACCAGCCTAGGAATATTCAGACAAGCTACCCATAGGCATCAGTTGTCGATGACTTTAAAGAATCTATACAAATATGTACAGAATCTAGTATTCTCATCGCATTTATGTATCATAGTCAGTATCATTGCTTTCCCTCCCTTCTGTCTCCCACCTTTTCAATATCTCCTCTTATTCGTCTCCCCCTTTTTCTGTCAGGCTTAGAGCAGCCCGAGGCTGTATATATACATTGAAGCTACACAACAGACTAGCTGGATACGTAGTAGCCAGCCAAACCTAGCCAGCCAGCCAGCCAAACCTAGCCAGCCAGCCAGCCAGCCAGCCAGCCAGCCAGCCAGCCAGCCAGCCAGCCAAACCTAGCCACCTAGCCAGCCAGCCAGCCAGCCAGCCAGCCACCTAGCCAGCCAGCCAGCCACCTAGCCAGCCAGCCAGCCAGCCAGCCAGCCAGCCAGCCAGCCAGCCAGCCAGCCAGCCAGCCAGCCACCTAGCCAGCCAGCCAGCCACCCAGCCACTCACTCACTGGTGGTGGCGTGAGTGTAACAGCTGGTCGTCAATGAAGAGGGAGCCGTAACACAATAAATAGACCCGGAGCAGGCACCCATAACGATAATTGGTTACCAGAATATGGAGTTGCCATAAAGTATGTGATCAAGCTTACGTAGCTCAGCGTAACTCCTCTTAACTAAGGATTTGTACTAGATTGCGTTTATCTGGCGCGCTCAGGTCATTGATGTCCTGTAAATGCAATATTCACCCAACATTTGGGTTTGGTTGGGTTAACCATCTCGGCTGGACTGAAATCTGGAGTCAAATCTGAGGGAATGATGTCTTGTGGCTCAACAGGACCACAAGGCTCTTCAGAGGAATGACATATACTGCAGGAGTTTCCACAACCAACTGGCGACACCAACTGGCGACCAGATTGTCTCATAATTGAGAAAAAAATAGATGAGTCGCACGTTGAATGGAAAACAGTCACCAGTTGGTGTCCCCAAGTTACATTCTGAATACCATCGGTGGCCAGCATAGGAACTTGAGGCATCTGGGGATCTCTAGCATGAGGGAGTGTTAGTGAGAAACCATGTGAGGGAGCCCTCTGGAGCTGGTCAGTCACGACCAGCACCGTAGCCACCGACGCTACAGTCACGACCAGCACCGTAGCCACCGACGCTACAGTCACGACCAGCACCGTAGCCACCGACGCTACAGTCACGACCAGCACCGTAGCAACCCACGCTACAGTCACGACCAGCACCGTAGCCACCCACGCTACAGTCACGACCAGCACAGCGGTGGACCAGCACCGTAGCCACCCACGCTACAGTCACGACCAGCACCGTAGCCACCCACGCTACAGTCACGACCAGCACCGTAGCCACCCACGCTACAGTCACGACCAGCACCGTAGCCACCCACGCTACAGTCACGACCAGCACCGTAGCCACCCACGCTACAGTCACGACCAGCACCGTAGCCACCCACGCTACAGTCACGACCAGCACCGTAGCCACCCACGCTACAGTCACGACCAGCACCGTAGCCACCCACGCTACAGTCACGACCAGCACCGTAGCCACCCACGCTACAGTCACGACCAGCACCGTAGCCACCGACGCTACAGTCACGACCAGCACCGTAGCCACCCACGCTACAGTCACGACCAGCACCGTAGCCACCCACGCTACAGTCACGACCAGCACCGTAGCCACCCACGCTACAGTCACGACCAGCACCGTAGCCACCCACGCTACAGTCACGACCAGCACCGTAGCCACCCACGCTACAGTCACGACCAGCACCGTAGCCACCCACGCTACAGTCACGACCAGCACCGTAGCCACCCACGCTACAGTCACGACCAGCACCGTAGCCACCGACGCTACAGTCACGACCAGCACCGTAGCCACCCACGCTACAGTCACGACCAGCACCGTAGCCACCCACGCTACAGTCACGACCAGCACCGTAGCCACCCACGCTACAGTCACGACCAGCACCGTAGCCACCCACGCTACAGTCACGACCAGCACCGCGGCGCTCGACAGGTTAGCGCGGGAACCAGAGATAGTTCTGGTTCTTTAGTTCAGTGTTGCATTAAAGTCTTTGTGATTTTAAATGTTCATATAGATTTAAATATTATATGTATATAGATGCTTGAGGAAGAAGTGAGGCAAATCCCCCCAAAAGTTAATAGATATATACGAGACTCATGAGGTCGGGGAGGAAAGGAAATTATGAGAAAGAGCTGAGCCAGTATGACTATATAGCACAGGGAAGGGATATCAGGATAAGATAGCTGATGGGATACGAAGACAGGGTGAAGGAACGAATTTCAACTGTTGGGATCATCTAGGATAGAACGCCAACCTTCACGTAGCGAGCACGTTGTTGTACCGACCCAGCTCTTCTGGTTACCATTGATATCCTTCGGAGGTTGTGTAAGGTTGATGGTTCGAGATGATGTCCTGTAGGTGTATTTACAGGGTGGTACACGGGGTGGAGGTACTGGGTGGTGTGGTGCACGGGGTGGAGGTACTGGGTGGTGTGGTGCACGGGGTGGAGGTACTGGGTGGTGTGGTACACGGGGTGGAGGTACTGGGTGGTGTGGTGCACGGGGTGGAGGTACTGGGTGGTGTGGTGCACGGGGTGGAGGTACTGGGTGGTGTGGTGCACGGGGTGGAGGTACTGGGTGGCGGTACTGGGTGGTGTGGTGCACGGGGTGGAGGTACTGGGTGGTGTGGTGCACGGGGTGGCGGTACTGGGTGGTGTGGTGCACGGGGTGGAGGTACTGGGTGGCGTGGTGCACGGGGTGGAGGTACTGGGTGGTGTGGTGCACGGGGTGGAGGTACTGGGTGGCGTGGTGCTCGGGGTGGAGCAGTTATAGTTCTTGATTGTGGTCTAGCTTCCATGGGCGGTTCTTGGAGCCTAATGTGCTAGAATTTCTCTTTCGTTACTTAAGTCGCTCTCTACGAATTATCGTCTTCACTTATTGAGGAGTGCAGAGTCGGGTGCATGTGTGCACTGTGGTGAGGACACAATACGTGGACTGATTCTAACTTAGAAAGAAACAGTCCTCGTTGTGATAATTGTGTCATTTACAAAGTACCTTGTAAAGACTGCAATAGGTTCTATGTAGAGCAAACATCCAAAGATTTGAAATTTTGAATTTCGCAACATAAATTCTCTAAGAGCTGACCAATTCTCTAATGCTTTGTTTCTTCATTTGTCAAAGATTTACCACTTCAAGAATAAACAAGAGGTTGCAATATTTTGTGCGAGAAATGCTGTTTCGTAATAATTTTAGCTGCTTACACACACAAAGTTCGATTAACACGCATGTGTGACGATACTACATATATTGGTAAGGTGAGCTAATAATTGATTTTCATCTCTGAAATTTAGGAATAGCGGTACGATAGTTTGGGCTGAGACTAACGGAATCTGCTAAGCACTCCAATCCATGTTTAGCATATATACCTAATGACCACTCTTAATTGTGGCCATATGTCTTAAGATAGGAAGCAGTGGTTTAACACAGGTTTTCCCATTCATATTGGCGGAGTATAGCTGCATTATTTAAATATTAAATATCGCCTCTCCTCTCTTGCCGTCTCGTCCTGATGATAAAAGGCCTAATATACACACAGGAATTATTTGTTGCTATCACAGGCTTCTCGTGTGTATTCCAAATAATAATAATAATTTATTTAGGAACAGTACATACATAGTTGCAGCGTTACAGTACAAACATTGTTAGATTAAAAGATAGTTAGTACATACAATACCTAAAGCCACTAGTACGCATAGCGTTTCGGGCAAATGTTTCCAGTTTGAGTGGCAGGGTCTTCATAAGCCTTATGCTGTAGCCTAAGAAGAGAAAAAAGGGAACGTTAGAAAGAAGCGAGATCAATTTTGGTATCTTGTTTCCTAATAAGCTAAATTCTCTTTCTCAGCAGTTCTTGTATCTCTGTGTTGTTATTAACAAGCTTAGGTATACACAGAAATGTGCTGCTATTCAATATGAAAGATTAAACAGTGTAGATCAAAGCCACTCTGTAATCGATGTTCTCAACCGTTTGGAACCCGGCAACTGTTTAATTTTACCCATGTAGCTAATTTCCAATTTCTTTTTTTTATTATACACCCCATATCCGTCCCGTTACCGGTGGTGGACAGGGTTACAGAGGCACATAATGGGTTCAGGAACTGAACCCCCTAGTTTGTTTAGCTAAGCAAATAACAATCTTTTGACGCTAGTTACACAATTATTAATGTTATATATACATGTACATATGTGTGAATAAGCCTGAACGGTCTCCAGGCATATATGCAACTGAGTTTTCAGATGTACATATATATATATATATATATATATATATATATATATATATATATATATATTATATATATATATATATATATATATATATATATATATAAACAATCATTTACACAAATACACACATCGATAATCTTCTGTATCACAAGTGATTCAACAAGAGGCTCACAAGTCACTATACAAGGCATTTTACATTTATGGTGAGTCACACAGTTACTAGTCTTGCTCCACACCCACCCAACTGGGCGGCAGCTTTACAGTCATGTGCTCCACACCCACCCAACTGGGCGGCAGCTTTACAGTCATGTGCTCCACACCCACCCAACTGGGCGGCAGCTTTACAGTCATGTGCTCCACACCCACCCAACTGGGCGGCAGCTTTACAGTCATGTGTAGGCTGCACCTACAGCACGCAAATTTTGGATACTTGGCTAAGATTCCTGGCAGTAAACCATTATGGGTGAAGTACTTACACATTTCTTGGACACCATTGATGGTGTTATCTCTGAATTCCGCGATTTTTTCACATTCCATTATATAATGACGTAAAGTATGCGAACAGTTCTGCTGACAGAGTTTACATTTAGTCAAATCTACATCAGCAGATGTTACAACCTCCCAGAGGTACTTGTAGCCGAGCCTAAGCCTAGCAGTGGTAACATCTGGAAGTCTGCTAACATTATTGGATGACCCATAGACGTGCGGTTCTTCCTGCATATGAGAATGATAGATGGAGGAACCAGTGTGAATTTCACTTTGCCTCAAGGCTGTAGCTAGAGTCGTCACAATGTTATTTCTCTTAAATTCTATGCAGGCAGCAAGTTAAGATGGAGCAAAAGAGGAGGCGGCACCGGGTGTGGAGAGAGGAGGGGGGGCGGTGTGGGGGGCTGGATGTTAACTTCGCCCAGGAGGGGTCTCTGCCCCCCACCGCCCTGGTCTCCTACCCAGGCTCCGGCAACACGTGGACTAGACACCTGCTACAGGCCGCCACCGGCATTTTCACCGGCTCTATCTACCAGGATCAGCAGCTCTATATGAAAGGTCAGTCTTATAGCCATGGATGGGGAAGGGGTTATTATTTATAAATAAATAACTTGTGTGACCTAGGACGGGTCATGGAATAGTTGTTATAGGCCTATGAAGGTTATTATCTAAAATCTTGATTCAATATTAACTGTAAAATTGAATTTGCGCTATGAAATATATTAATAATATTCTGGTAATGTGCAGAGATGGTAACGAATAATTATATTTTTAATTGAATTAATTTGCAACCCGTTCTCGCACTTGCTTACAGTCAACATTGGCTTATTTAATAAGTGCATATGTGACATACTCGATATTTTGTATGATAGCAATAAGATAAGCATCTTATTGCTTCTTATTTACAATTATTACTTAACCTATCAATGGTATAGTTATAGGTTAAGTAATAATTGTAATTAAGAAGCAATAAGATGCTTATCTTAACATACTAAGAAGGTTAGGTGAGGTCGGTGTTTTCTATGAAGCTTTTAAAGGTAAACTTAAATATTCACAATCAATTAGTATGTCACATATGCACTTATTAAATAAGGCAATGTTGACTGTAAGCAACGTAATTTGTGTGCAGTGACACCTTACAGCAACTGATACGATCCTTTAAAATCTGTTAAAAGTAATACACGTGTTTTTAAACTAAAATGCCCCTAAGCTAATTAATTTCACTAGTATATCTAATCCCTACAAGACATCTACTCCTGTAAGTGGCTCGTTGTAGGCTTCTTTGGGGAGCTGGAGCCCTGGAACGCTGGGACGACCTTCACACAGAAGACGCATGATGGTAGTCCCGCCCACATCCAGGCCTTCAACGGTACTGGCGTCCTCCTGCTCAGGAACCCCTACCGCGCTATCATCTCTTACCACAACTTTCTTTTCGGTGGTCACACTGGCTACGCCCCGATCTCCAACTACCGGAGGAAAGGTGAGGTCGTTGTTCAAGTGTTGCTGATGACGCAAGACATGATGAGTTACTGTTCTGGTGAGGTATGACGCAAGACATGATGAGTTACTGTTCTGGTGAGGTATGACGCAAGACATGATGAGTTACTGTTCTGGTGAGGTATGACGCAAGACCTGATGAGTTACTGTTCTGGTGAGGTATGACGCAAGACATGATGAGTTACTGTTCTGGTGAGGTATGACGCAAGACATGATGAGTTACTGTTCTGGTGAGGTATGACGCAAGACATGATGAGTTACTGTTCTGGTGAGGTATGACGCAAGACCTGATGAGTTACTGTTCTGGTGAGGTATGACGCAAGACATGATGAGTTACTGTTCTGGTGAGGTATGACGCAAGACATGATGAGTTATTGTTCTGGTGAGGTATGACGCAAGACATGATGAGTTACTGTTCTGGTGAGGTATGACGCAAGACCTGATGAGTTACTGTTCTGGTGAGGTATGACGCAAGACCTGATGAGTTACTGTTCTGGTGAGGTATGACGCAAGACATGATGAGTTACTGTTCTGGTGAGGTATGACGCAAGACATGATGAGTTACTGTTCTGGTGAGGTATGACGCAAAGGATCTGCTCATGCACAAGACAGCAAATATATGACTTATTGCTTATAGTCACTATTTCGCTTATAAATATGTATATATGTGACATTCTAAGCTATAATTTTTTTCAAGGCACTAACTTTTCTCTCAGTTTTATTAAACAATAGAGATTTTATACCAAATTTGACAATATCCTGAGTTACTTTACAATTTATTTAAATATTTTAGTTTTGTTTTATTATTTTTATAAAACTGTAATATCAATATAGGTATAGGTTCAGTACTAATTGTAATATCTTAATTAACATATTAAGAAGGTTAGGTTGTGGTTTTCTATTTAGCTTTTCAAGGTAAACTCAAATATTCACAATAAATTAGTATGTCGCATATGCACTTATTCATAAGCAAGTGCGAGAACGGGTTGCACGCAAAACACGATAAAATTCTTGAGTGAATGAGCTCGCTTGAGTCACACTTAATTCTGCATTATATCGATAAATAAATAAATTAAATTAAATTAAAAAATTAAATAAATTAAATAAATTAAATTAAATAAATAGTATGAAATTTTTATATTAATACTTGAGGATTAAGAAAATAGGTTTAAGATTTCAGTAGACTACTGTACATTAAACATGATTGTTACGAACCCGGATCCAGCGTCCGAGCAAGGAGCAGTAACGACTACGCCATCTGTGGGTCAGCTCCCGAAACCCCCGCCAAACGAACGACGACACCGGATGAGGACGGCGAATATCGGCCACAAGGGCCAGTTTCCAGTCCTGTGCAGCTCACAACACAGCCGCTCCTGACCTCTGGTGAGGTGGTGCTCCGACGACAGCGCCATCTATGGACTGGATACGTCAGGTGTTTGCGCCCGAGCCCGTAAGTGAGGTGTTTTAGTGTCCCGGTTATTGATGACGTGTCTGTTTACAGAGTCGACCTGGGACCACTGTGTTGGAGGTTGAGTCAGTCTACCCGAGGCAGCCAGTCTCCATACTGTGAAGTTTGCTGCAGCTGTTGTGACGTCGTCCCCCCGGAAGAACACTGTGGTGTGTTAGCCTGCCAGTGGAGTGGCAGTGAAAGGATTTACCCGGGACCGACTGTTGGAGACGATCATCCACTGGGGTATTGAGGACAGGAGGGTGATTTGTGATATCACACGAGACTCCTGTCTAGGGCGTACCCCTTATATCGTTCGTGGAGTGGCCGTACCAGCCTTGGTGGCTCAGTACCTGCCAGCAGACCAGCTGGACGTGTGGTTGACGGCCTCCACGACGGTGCCCCCAGTGGACCTGTGTTTTGGCTGACCTGTGGCCCGGGTAGGCTCGGCATTCTCAGAGGACACGTCGTGAGGCCACGAAGAAAGCACCGAGAGTTATGGCACCAGCGTCTTCAGTAGAAGACATCGATTGAGGATTAATCCCCTTGTAAAGTGTTAATACCCCTCCCCTTTGTGCACTCATTTATTTTATATATTTAATAGGTGATGGTAATAATTATAATATTAAGTTCTTAGCTTTCTTTCCCTACTCCCTTTAAGTTACTTGCGTCACGGATCTCATCCCTTGATAGCCACTACTGGCTCGGGAACGGATACATATATCTTCCTCTAACAACATCAGAGTAAGGACCCCGTTGCGTCCCGAGAGGGCCGTAACATAATTGGCATCCCCAGCGGGATCCGTCCCCTTGTTAAGTATGTTTGACAGGGGTGGTGAAGTGGCGTAATCCCTGTAAATAATTCCCCCTGTGTGTGACGATTGTGACGTTATACGTCCTGTGCGGTGCTCAGAGTGACTAAGTGCGATATTGTGCAGTGCGGTGCTCGCTGTGATTAAGCGATTAAGTGCAATATTGACTAGTGCGGTGCTCAGTGATTCAGTGCAATATTGTAGAGCGAAGTGTTCGCTTGGACTCAGTGCAATATTGGGTAGTGTGGTGCCCGAAGTGATTACGTGCAATATTGGCAAGTGCAGTGTTTGGTGCGATAAAGTGCAATATTGACGTAGAACAGTGCTCGGTGCGTTAAGTGCTAACGTGTAAACGGTGTGTTAAGTGCTCGTTAAGTGTTCCATCTGTGACAATGGCAGACAAAGCTACCATCGATGATCTGGACGATGTTCAGGCTTTTCTGAACAGAGTGGACTGTCTTGCCAGATTAAAGTATCTGAGCAAACCAGAGCTTGTACTAGTGAGCGCCTACCTGGAGATCAAGATCCATGCCAGTGATTCCCGTGTGGAGATCTTGTCCAAGGTTCACCGGCACCTGAAGGCAGAAGAGAAACAGGAAGGCGAGACTCCTAGTACAAGGGAAGGTGAGGAAATAGCTTCCACGGAAAAGGAAGATAAGGGCAGCGACGTTGACAGTGATGCAGGTGAGCTTAATATCAGCTTCCTAACAGTCAAAATGCGTGCCCTAGAGATCAATCGTGAAATAGAATGGAAGAAATTAGAAATGGAACGAGAGAGACAAGATAAAGAAATGGAGATGAAAGAAAAAGAATTGGCGATGAGGCGTTTAGAATTAGAAAGAGAAGAAAGAAGAGAAGAACGAGAAAGAGAGAGAGAAGAACGAGAAAGAGAAGAGAAAAGAGAGAGAGAAGAACGAGAAAGAGAAGAGAGACGAGAGAGAGAAGAACGAGAAAGAGAGAGAGAAGAACGAGAAAGAGAGAGAGAAGAACGAGAAAGAGAAGAAAAAGAAAGACAGAGACAACATGAACTAGAAGTATTACGACTAGGCGCTGGACAGAGACAAACTGGAGTAAGCGGTTTCGATCCGGTAAGGAATATCAAAATGGTCCCCAAATTCAACGAGAGAGAAGTTTCGAAGTTCTTCGCAGCCTTCGAGAAAGTCGCTGCCTCTTTGGAGTGGCCAAGGGAGAATTGGGCCATCATGATACAGTCAGTCTTGACTGGGAAGGCCCAAATCGCCTACTCTACGTTATCCCTTGACGACTCCGGCGATTACGATATGGTGAAGAAAGTGGTGCTCATGGCGTACCAATTGGTACCTGAGGCATATAGGCAAAAGTTCAGAAACCTGAAGAAGACCTCAGAGCACACTTTCACCGAATTCGCCACCATCAAGGAGCGACTTTTTCAAGAATGGGGTGCCTCTCGGAAGGTGGAGACCAAGGAAGACCTCGAGCAGCTGATTCTGCTCGAGGACTTCAAGGATTGTTTGTCTGGAGACCTGAAGACGTACTTAGAGGAACAGCAGGTAGAGACCTTGAGTGCAGCAGCCACTATGGCTGAAGAGTACATCCTGACTCATAGGCCGTCTGCTAAGTACGTCCCAAGGAATTACCAGCGCCGGTTCGACAGACCTCATGATGAAGAAGACCCGTCCCACAAAGCGCTAAGAAGACGCCCCCAAGTAGCCCCCGAAGAACAAGTCCTAGCAGTCCGAAACACCGGAGCCCGAGGAGGAATATGGTGTGCTGGACTTGTGGGCAGAAAGGGCACGTAGCTGCTAGGTGCCGAGGCAGAAGAGGTGGCAGCGCACGAAGGGAGGTGATGTTGATGAGCTGTGGAACACCACCAATAGGAAACCAGTCTACGACGACGCAGGAAGGACCAAGTTTGTTGGCCCCTCACACTTCAACCGGGTATGTAACGAGTGATCATACTGGTAGATCAATTGTAGTGCTCAGAGATAGTGGAGCAGCCCAGTCCCTGATCATGAAGAGCTCGGTACCCGAGGGAGTAAGTGTGGATGGGAGACAAGAGGTTGTCCTGGTTGGGTTTCCAAGGACGCAGTACATCGCCCCCTTAGTGCCAGTACATCTCGACTCGCCTTATTTCAGCGGCACATGTGCGTTGGCAGTAGTCGATACCCTCCCTGTGGCTGGGATTGACGTGGTACTAGCCAACGACTTGGTGACCGATTGGAGCACCAATCATCCCAAGGTTGCGGACGAGTCTACCGGAACAGCACGGTCTGAGGTAACAGGCAATGGTAATGTCCAGGTAAAGACAGACCCGGATGTAACTATGTTTAATTTGTCCTCTCGCCTACAGATTGAGAACGATCTAGCAGTGTCTCCTGATTCTCTCGACAAGGAACATGAGGTTACGATGGCAGAAGTACCTGAGCTAGAAGAGAGGCCTTGTGTGCAGGCACCCACGGGTACCAACGAGTCTGGAGCGAAGGCAGAAGTGTGCTTGCGGTATGGCAAGTTACAGCGTGTATTGAACCAGCCAGAGATTCCCCAGACGTCAGAGGTATGTGAGGTGTGTTCAACAGGTCTAGTGCCCTCTTCGGTCCAAGCCAGGCTAGTGGATGTTGCCGGCTATGGACATGACTGGCTCGGGAAGCTTATCCCTCAATTGACCCCATGTTTCTTAGCGATATTTTGTTTTATTCTCCTATGTATTCTCTGTGTTCTCAGTAAGGATCAGTGGACGACCCGACGAATGATGGCTCCCATGAACATCGCGCAGAGGTCCCAGGGATTGGAGATTTGTACTGCAGGCGTTGCAGTTGAAGAAGGGACCTGGAAGGTGATGGTTGATACAGGAGGTACGACATGTGATAATATGAGTGACTGTTTCCGACAGGTTGACACCCCCCGCGTGATTGCTGAGCCTCAACACAGCGTTATGCGGAACGTTGGTCGACCTGACGGTGGCAGAGCGAATGCCACCTGCGACGTACGAACAGCCCCGTTGGGACTAGGTGTGGACCTAGTAGAGTATGCTGTAAGTACTGTTTTACCCGCTGTCGCTATCACTCTGAATTATCAGACCCCTGTATTCCAGGTTCCTGTCTCCCTGAAGGACCATCGGACCGGCACCAGAAATGCCGTCTGTGGTCAGCCATCATCGGTGCCACGACATAGGGAAGTGTCGAGTCACCCCAGATCGAGTCTACACGGATCCTTACTCGAGAGATGTGAGATGATGTCCCTGTTTGCCATCGCAGAGGAGATGTGGAAGATTATGTCAGGCAGGTCATCGCCTGCCATTTTCAAGGTCCCTTTGTGCCAGGGATTTTCTTTAGTACAATTCAGTAGACGAGACAGCCTCGCCATCCCAGATTATAAAGCATGTGTGTCCATTTGGAGCAGTGTCGCCGTACTAATTTGGTTTGTGTTTCTTTTTATAGAACCCCAAACCAAATTCTTTTTGGTGGGGAGGTGTTACGAACCCGGATCCAGCGTCCGAGCAAGGAGCAGTAACAACTACGCCATCTGTGGGTCAGCTCCCGAAACCCCCGCCAAACGAACGACGACACCGGATGAGGACGGCGAATATCGGCCACAAGGGCCAGTTTCCAGTCCTGTGCAGCTCACAACACAGCCGCTCCTGACCTCTGGTGAGGTGGTGCTCCGACGACAGCGCCATCTATGGACTGGATACGTCAGGTGTTTGCGCCCGAGCCCGTAAGTGAGGTGTATTAGTGTCCCGGTTATTGATTACGTGTCTGTTTACAGAGTCGACCTGGGACCACTGTGTTGAAGGTTGAGTCAGTCTACCCGAGGCAGCCAGTCTCCATACTGTGAAGTTTGCTGCAGCTGTTGTGACGTCGTCCCCCCGGAAGAACACTGTGGTGTGTTAGCCTGCCAGTGGAGTGGCAGTGAAAGGATTTACCCGGGACGATAATCCACTGGGGTATTGAGGACAGGAGGGTGATTTGTGATATCACACGAGACTCCTGTCTAGGGCGTACCCCTTAAATCGTTGGTGGAGTGGCCGTACCAGCCTTGGTGGCTCAGTACCTGCCAGCAGACCAGCTGGACGTGTGGTTGACGGCCTCCACGACGGTGCCCCCAGTGGACCTGCGTTTTGGCTGACCTGTGGCCCGGGTAGGCTCGGCATTCTCAGAGGACACGTCGTGAGGCCACGAAGAAGGCACCGAGAGTTATGGCACCAGCGTCTTCAGTAGAAGACATCGATTGAGGATTAATCCCCTTGTAAAGTGTTAATACCCCTCCCCTTTGTGTACTCATTTGTTTTATATATTTAATACGGTGATGGTAATAATTATAATATTAAGTTCTTAGCTTTCTTTCCCTACTCCCTTTAAGTTACTTGCGTCACGGATCTCATCCCTTGATAGCCACTACTGGCTCGGGAACGGATACATATATCTTCCTCTAACAACATCAGAGTAAGGACCCCGTTGCGTCCCGAGAGGGCCGTAACATTCCCTCCTGCTTTTTCCTTTACTGTTGGAATAAATATCTCTTCAGCCTCCTTGCATTTCCGTATGACTTGGTTCATCATACCTTGCACT